AAGTGGGAGGGCCAAAGAGGCACTCTTTCTGTGTAACTCTAATATTTTGCTCATGTGTTGACCAACAGGCTCCGGTTATTGGCCAACACATGGAGCAAAATATTAGAGTTACACAGAAAGAGTTGCTGTTCTCTGTTTCACGCTCGGTCTCTTTCTCCCTCCCTCTGCGTGCTCCCTGTCTTCCTTCCTTCTCTGCCTCTTGCGTATGTATGCTCTCTGCGTATGCATGCCTGTTCTGACTTCAGTGATTGCAAAGGGAGTGGTATTTCGGCTGGGTCTTTTCATTGGACATAGTGAACACTATCCCTATAGGATTCTCAGCTGGCTGACATTCCTTTGGTGTGTATGGCGTGAAGGTTTCGAAAGCAACCCTGATATGACAACAGGCATAATTTTTTCACAGTGAGCTGGAATTTCTTTCTAGAGGTTCCTCCGATTGTGGCAGAGTTCTGAACTTTGGTTTTGAGTTTTGACACGAAAAACAGCTGTAAACATCTCGTGTACAAAGCCTGTAAGAGGGGAGCTATATTCCAGAGCTCATGTGATTTTAAAGAGAGGGCAAGGTCAGGAGAAAAAAGCTTATATAGGTAGCAAGCAAAGGAGAATAAGCAAATATGCTTTGACCGGGCAGCTGCTGCGGTTAGAAAGAATTTTAATGGGATTATTTGACAATATCTAGGTTAAAAAAAATTGAATGTTGCTTAACAGCAACATTTTGAATTGTATAATCACTCTGATAAGCTGTTGACATGGTAACTGGCAAAGAAAAATAACAACAAATTATTAGTCTTATTAATTGAGATAATAATTTCCATGGTGATAGAATATACTTTATAAGAGATATATCAGAATTTCAGAAAAAACAACTGTATTCTTCTGATAACACAGATTGAGAACATATTTTTCAGTTTCTTAATAATCTTAAGTATTTCCCAGATCATTTCTGGTTGTGGAAACATGTATATTGAGAGTAGATCTATAAACCTGTCGTATTAATTGGAAATGGTTTGAAGACTAATCAAGGCAAAGAAAAGTACTTTTTCTCTGAAGGTGTTAGGAAAGGCCATAGTCCTATTGTTAAATTTACCCATGTGTTGATTTACCATTCAGGGACTGAATAAATGGATCTGGTGTAGTTCTGATTAACCAACAAAGTTCCAGGTAAACTTGTATTTTTTTCCTAGTCATTTCTTAGTAATTGATGGATGCATTCACACTGATTGCAAAATTCCAGATAATGCTGCTTCTATTTTCAGTTTTATACTGAGTTCAAATAAACTGATCCGGGGAGGTGGTATAAAAAGTCTCTGTTTGTACCAAGAGCTGACAGAAAATATGCTGTGGTGTATCAATTTCCAAAATATAGTGGGAAAGGATAGGAACAAAAACTGAGATTTTCTGGTCTTTTCAATCAGTTTGGATGAGCCCTGTTATAATTATCAAAAACACTAACTTCTTTGAATTTTTAATTAGTTTTTTAAAAAAAATAAAAAATAGATCCAAGACTGTGATTACACTCCATAGCCGAAAGGTGGCAGTACTCCATCTCTTTAATACTTTTCCATGGAGCTTGCAAGGATTTCTGTTAACCTTCTAGTCTGGAAACCTGCTTTTTTAATTAGAGTACCCTGAGGCACTCTTTTTTCACATGATGTCCATGTTTGCTTTTAGGGTTGCAAATTGCAGGGAACCTTACTCAGGTGAAAGTTCCCATTGATGTGTGTGTACTCATGTATTTTCAGCATATGTTTCTGATATATCAAAAGTAATATTTTTAGGAATTAAAGATTAATACCATCATAAAATTATGGTATAAGTGGTTGAATGTGTGTGCAGTGCAGCAGGAAGATTGACTCTTTCTATATTCTTCCAACTCTTCCTTTACTTGAGAATAAAGTAATATAATCCCAAAGATAATAATATTGTGAGCTCTTTGGAGGAAGTGCAGGATAAACCAACATGATTAATAAATAAACACACATCTTCTAGCAAACTCCTCAGAATCCAAGGTTCTGAGGAATGTTTTCCTTGGCATGCTACAAAAGATTTTTAGCTTGGAGGTGACCTTTGATTTTCCAATGAAATTGCTTTGGGAGCAGGTGCAAGGCAGACCAAGGAAGGATATTTCTTCATACGCTTCATAATTAATGTATACAATTTATTTCCTCCTGATATGGTGTGGGTCACTAGCTTAAATGACTTTTAAAGAGGGTTTGTAAAAATTCATGAAGGACAATTGTATGAAGATGTATGATAATTCTAGAGAGGTTAAAGGCACCATCAAGATGAGCAAAGGCTCAGCGCTAGTGATGGCTAAGGAATTCAATCTTTGCAAAATTAGAAGTGGCTTTAACCTTGGAATAATGTACAGGTTGGAAGGAAGTTCTCCAACAGAATTTACACTTTCAAAAATGTTTTGAGCTCTGAAAAAGGTATTTTGAGAGAAAATAGTTTCAGAGATGACGGAAAATTGGTTTAAAATTCATATTTTACAGACAGGGTGGAATAGATTTGAAGGTTTAGACATGCAAAAATAACACAGCCTAGAAGCAGATTTGGTTCTCCTTCCGTATTCCTTTGTGAGGAACAGCAGACTTGTGGTGGCTGGTAGCTTTCATGTCTGTAGAGCGATGAATGCATTCTAGTCTTAGTCCAAAATCTCCCAAATAGGTTCAGCACGTTGGATGGCTCCTTTAAAATTTAGATTAAAATGTAGGGGAATGTGCAGAGTCCCATGTATGTGGACTGCGGATTAAAAGAAACACTATAAATTCCAATAATTAGAAGCATTTCAAGGGTTTCTTTTGTATTGCTGTCTAGTATTCTTATATATGTTGTGTGATAGTCTAGCAAATATAAAAGGCTTTCATAATTACAAGGTACCTGCAGTTACCTTTTGAATATACTTTATTATTATTATTATTATTATTATTATTATTATTATTATTATTTATATCCCGCCTTTAGCCAAGGCTGTCAAGGTGGCTTACAATTTAAAAATACAGTCCCATGTAATACAAAGATATTTGTTTGTCAGTTCCATCTGTTTGACTTTATTTAAAAAATAAAACAACTCCATGTTATTATCCTAAGCATGTTTTGATATATTTAAGATTCTTAATAACCCTCCACTCCTTTTATGTATCAGTAGAAACAATGTGCCACCATTTAGAATTCACAACTTTCCTTTCAGCAAAGGGTAGACATGTAAAAACAAGTCTGTACTGTAGCAAGGAATGTCTTAGATGTGTATTTTAAAATTTCAGGTAGCTTTTTTAAAACCCATGTTTTATCTACAGTGGGCCCTTGGTATCCACTGGAGTTTGGTTCCTGTGGATACCAAAATCTGTGGATGCTCAAGTCCCATTATATACAATGGCATAATGAAATGGTGTCCTGAGTGGTATTATTGGGCAGGTGCACCAGGTGACACCCCACAGGAAAGGTAACCCCCTGCTGTGGTCTTCCTTCTGTGGCAGAGAGGCAAATGCTCCTCTATGGCTTCGCTGCTGTCTGGCTCTCTCCTCAGGGAAGGAGATGAGGAGGTGGCATAGGGGCAAGCGTGCTTCTTGTGACTTTGTTGCTGGCCCAGTCTTCTTCCTGGGGAGGGAACTGGGCCAGGGACAAAGCCATGAGCGGAAGGCTACTGCTGCTCTCTGGCAGGCTGCTGTGCACTGGATGTCACCAAGCCTGGTTGACATCACTGGCTGTCCCTTACATAAAATGGCAAAATCAAGATTTGCTTTTTGGATTTTTCGTTTGTTTGTTTGTGTGAGTATTTTCAAGCTGTGGCCGATGGATTGCCATATGTTGAGAGTGCTTTGATTGTGTGTTCCTGCATGGCAGGGGATTGGACTGGATGGCCCTTGAGGTCTCTTCCAACTCTATGAATCTTCAGATTCAGAATCTGTAGATACTGAAGGCCAACTGGATGTGCAATGCTCTTGCCACTCGCTAGACCAGGGGTAGGCAACCTAAGGCCCGGGGGCCGGATGTGGCCCCCTGAGGCCTTTGGACCGGCCCCAGGTTGGTCCTGCCGCCGCCGCCGCCACCGCCCCCCACGATGATGATATTGATTATTGTTATTACTTGTTCTTGGGGTTTTCTTGGCAAAATCTCCACTGGGGTTTTGCCATGGCTTTTCTGGGGCTGAGAGAGTGTGCATGCATTTTTTAAAATTTTTTAATTTTAATTTTTATTTATTTATTTATTTATTTTTGGTGCTTCGGCCCCCCAATTGTCTGAGGGACAGCAACCCGGCCCCCGGCTCAAAAAGGTTGCCTACCCCTGCTCTAGACTATCTTTCAAGAGCTAGCATGTGTCAGGAAGTCTCCTTACATGAGCATCTGCCCACTTACCCTTCTCAGGGTCTTCTTGTTGGCAAACTAAAAGCTTGTCTACATGATTAAAATACTCTTTGTTCTTTTGGAATCGAATACAGTCTTTCCACATGTGAGTTGGAAGAATTTGGGCTTTGTGTGTGTGTGTGATCTATCTCCTCAAACTCTGCAGTAAAAGGAATTGTGTTTTTTACATGAGTATTCACAAGGATACGTATTACTGAATGGGGGCCGTCTGACCACTTTGCAGGGATTTGCATGGCGACACATTTTTCGGCAGAGCAATGGTGAACAGATGCAAATTTGCACAGCAAAGAAGACAATTAAGCGTTGATGTGTATGTGTGAAAATGCACAGCAATTTGCATAATGCACTTGCATGGAGTGTAAAACCTTTCTACATAATAGCTGTTTGCAGAAGTGATCTTCAAGGGCCATTGAGGGAGAATTTTTTTTTATATAAACAGCTGGTTTCAACTTCCCCTCTGCTTCTAGTGTATCTCTGTGTTATATGTCTTCAAGTCGTTTCTGACTTATGGTGACCCTAAAGCAAACCTATCATGGGGTTTTCTTGGCAAGACTTGTTCAGAGGACATTTGCCATTGCCTTTTCCTGAGGCTGAGAGCATATGACTTGCCCAGGGTCACGCAGTGGGTTTCATGGCCAAGCAGGGAATCAAACCCTGGTCTCCACAGTTGTAGTCCAACACTCAAACCACTATGCCATGCTGGCTCTGGCTTCTAGACTAGACAGTTTTAAAATCTGTGGGGTTTTCAGGGAGAGAACCTCTTTCTGCCCAGAGAAATTCTTTGTATATATGGACAGATTTTGTGTAGTAATCAAGGGAGAAATACATGTGCATACGATTTCTACTCAGACTAGAAATTCCACACCATCTGTTCCAGCTGTTGTTCAGCTGCATTTATAGCAAGCGAGTGCTTTGCTGCTTAAAAAGAATTATGTGTGTGTACAGACACTACGACTACAGGCGAAACCCACCATGAAACCTGTTACTTTATGTATAATAAAACATGCATAAATGGTATTGAATAATTCAGTAAACGCATTGGATTCTAAGGAAAAGGTTTTCCCCCCCTCTCTCTGTGTAGGCTGTATACACATGTGAGCTATGGGCATTCTGTTTTTAGTTGGCAAATGCTCACTGGTGATGAATGTGGCATCTGTTGTACATGCTCACAGATTAGCTTGCTTTTGTCTTTGTGTTGAGTTTTTGTATGATTTTCATCATTGCCAAAGAAAGACAGGTTCTTGCATGCTTTCTATAACTTTGTGTGTGTATGTGTGTGTACATGTACAGCAGTTGTTTTTATGCACAGATGTTGGAAATTATTCAGGATGCAAAGCACCATTGGAAAGAGAATATCAACCAAAGGCCCATAGTAAGCATCTGATTCGTGTGTGTGTGTGTGTGTGTGTGTGTGTGTGTATATATATATATATATATATATATATATATATATGTAAGTAAACCTCTCTGTATAATGCAACCTGTTGTAATAGTTTAATTTCATTTTAATTGTCACTTTTGTAAGTTTTTAATTGTACTGTGCTTTTAGACTGTAAGCCTCTTTGAGTCCCAGTTTTGGGGAAAACAGGATATGAATAAGTACACGTAATAATAATAATAGGAATAATAACCTTTAATCAATAATAATAATAAAAATATTTGGAGGCTGTCATGCAGGAGCTGTCTGTCAAGTTGCACTTGAGCTAATAATTCTTGATACCGGTAAATTCCAGATACCTGTAGTTCTTCTGTTGCTGCTTCACATTTTTGAAGAATTTGTTTGCTTTAGATAAATTGGTACAAAATGAAAGAGAAGTGTGCATAAGATATAGATCATTTGCCTCTGCTTGCAAGCAGGAGTAATTGTTCTTGTTGGGACTGCAACTCCCAACATTTTTCATCATGGTCTGGCTAGATGTGCAGGGAGATGCAGTCCAATACCTGGGGACTTTAATGATTCCCATCTCTGGGTTGAAGAAACACCTTGTTGATGGTGTCGTGTGCCAGCAGCCATTCTCTGGACGTTTTCACACTACCTGGCTTAAGCCGCCTGGAGCCTTTCCGGAACAGCTCGTGCCGCTCATTCCGGAATGGCTCCGGCGGCGGCAACCCTAATTCCTTTTAAAACCCGGAATTACCTTTAAGCCGCTGAAGCCGGCGTTAGCGTTGATTAGGCCGGAGTGAGGCCGGACTTACTGCTCCGTGCATTTGAACACACGGAGCAAAGAGCCGGACGGATGCAGGGATGGCACCGGAAGGGGTGGGGTTTGCTGTGGCCTGCATGTGAACAAGCTGGAAATGGAGCCGGAGTGGGGCCGGACGGAGGTAGGATTGCGTCCTCCTAAAGCCCCGTGTGAAAACGCCCTCTGTATTGTTCCTCTGTCAATGAAGAGTTCAATGATTGTTCTTGGTTTGCTTCTCTAGATTGTTGAGAGAGAAATAAACAGAGAAGGGTACCTACATGTGTTTTCACAACATTGTAAACAAAGCTCTGTGCTTCCTTATAGTTTCTTCAAATGGGGGTGAACTGAGCATCTCAGTTACTGGATGATTTAATGTTTTCATTTAGGAGCTTTCCTTATTTATAGTTTTCTTTTATTGTGCCAATTCCCAGCAATTTGGTATCAATGACACTGATAGTAGAGCCTTATTGTCTGTATCAAGAGTGGATAAAATGTGGTCCTAGAGCCACAAATGGCCTCAGTACTGTTTTTGCTGCCCTCAACGCCTCCGGACTCCCTCTTTTCTGCCCCCTCCCCCAGGAAAGAGTTTAGGAGCAAGTCACATTTTAAATAGATTTTCAGGTACCTCCTCTACTGTGTATCATAAATATTTACTTGTTTTTCAAAAACCAGAAATAAAATTTCTCCTACCTCTTTTCTTTTTTGTGTTTTGGCTGTCTATATGGTCCCAGAATACCCTGGGGTAGAAGATCAGTCCCCAAATCTGCTACAAATCCCAACTCTCTTCTACACATAATATTGTTTATTATAACTCAACATGATGTACACATTTTAACATTCAGAGCATTATTTTTTATTGTTATGTATTAAATGTTATATAAATATAGTAGTGTGCTTGCAATATCTGTACAACACTTTCATGCCCTAGAGCAATGATTTTCAAACTTTTCATCTCGTGGCACACTGACAAGGTGCTAAAATTGTCAAGGCAGACCATCATTTTTTAATGATTTATTTAAAAATGAGTATTAAGATTGTGTTTAACATTCAATATCTAATTGTGATTTTTTTTAAAGTGGAAAATCTATGTTTGATGGTGTCTATCCATGTCTAATAAGCCCTGAAAATAAATAAATAAATGTAATTAGGCACTAAATTCAGAAATAACAAAATAACCATTGATTAGATCAGATTAATTAAAGTTTAACACTAATTTACCAAAATGCAGCAGTGCCAGGTTCACTGAGTTAGCAAGGCAAGGAGTCAATGGGCTGTATTGTAAACTGAGCACTGTGTTAAGTCTCATGACTGAATATTGTGGATGCTCACCACGTTGACCAGCACAAACTGCACAGCACAGGGAATATTCTATCACACCACAAAACACTTCTGCACTACACAGAGAAGACTCCATCAAACCACCCACCTTTGAGCTAACTTGCATGGTTGCACATCTCATAGACAGTTGTTCAATTCACACAGCTGTAACTCCTGTGACATCACAGGGACTTGGGAGGAAAAATGGAGGCAGTCCGTCTCCATGATATTCCAGAGACGAGGTCGTGGCTGTGCAACTGCGCAGCACTTCCCATCATTTGCTTGTGGATCATTGATGTGGGACACCTGGAGATCTTTCATGGCACACAAATGTGTCACTGCCCTAGAGCGTTTCACTGTTCTGTTCTGACAGTTATTTCCATCATTTTGGTCATAATCTTGGAGGCAGGCTTGAGAGTTGCTCAGGGGAGGCCCAAGATTTGGAGTCCCTGATTACTCCTCTTTTCTTCACAAACTTATTATATGTGCAAAATTTAGACATGTGTTGAGTTAAATGTTGAGTTTATTTAAATAAATCTGTTCTAAATGGAACAATGTTATTTCCTTATAAGATGTTAAAATTTGAACAGACAGGAATGTGCAAATGAAAATATGCACAATAACCAAACAGAATATTTTTTTTCATGTACAACGTCAAGGGCTTGGGGCGTGATGTCCGTATGTAGATGTAAAGAGTGCCACAAGGGTATAAAGTTTGATAACCCTAAAGCTTTTTAATGAGAGTGTTTTTTTTGTATTTACCAGCTTGTGGATATTAAACTATACACTTTGACTGTCTTTTTTATCCTGTCTTTGACTATTTGAAAACATTATGCTTTAAAATGTAATTTGTTGAAGATAGGTCAGCAGAGCAGTATTTGTTATTATCAGGAGAGAGATGGAACTAGTTGTCTCATTTTTTTTCTATGTGTGTGCAAAAATGCTTCTCATTTTTTTTGCTGCAGTTGACCCTCATTACAAGACTCATTATGGTATCCTTCTTGGTGCCATTTTCATTTTGTTCTTGACCTTCCTGGGGTTTAATCTTTTTGGCTATAATGTTTTGATAGCATTGCTCACTACGTCTAACATGATAGCATCCAGACCATCTACAAATAAAATTGCCCAGGTCACCCTGCCAGCCAGGGTAGACAAATGAAACTGAAAATAGTAAAAGTGATGGTGGTATGGGAGATAAAAATGGTGCTTGGATTTAAAAAAACACCAGCTGGGTGATACACTACAGATGCTTCTCTGGTGCTTTTGCTAAGTCTGGCATACTGGAGTCATCTCTGGGGAACACTGCTGATGCTTGTCTTATCCTTGCTGTGGATGAATATTAATCATAGAATCATAGAGTTGGAAGAAACCACAAGGGCTATCCATTCCAACCCCCTGCCATGCAGGAACTCGAAATCAAACCATCCCCGACAGATGGCCATCTAGCCTCTGTTTAAAGACCTCCAAAGAAGGAGACTCCACCTCACTCCAAGGGAGTGTGGGTAACAGTGGTTTATTATTAAATTACAATTTTACTTCTGTAAGTCCAGCTCTGGGAAAAGTGGGACATAACATGACAATAAAAATAAAAATAAAAATAAAAATAAATGAATTTGGTGCCTTGGCAGTTATCTCAGAGTGGAGGGCATGCTATTATGGTTATAAACAACTACCTCTTCCTCCTCCTCCTCCTCATCATCATTTATACCACAACCCACTCACTCCAAATCTGGGATTAAAGATGTCTTGGAAAACAGGGGGTTGGACTGGATGGCCCTTGTGGTCTCTTCCAACTCTATGACTCTATGAACAACACTGAAAACAGTCTAAAAGGTTAAAAACCAGTTTACAAAACAGTATAGTGTACTCTTAAAAGCCATTTCTTTTAAAATCTGCAGTTTTCCAAAGCCTGTTGGAGTAAAAATCCCCCCTGCCCCCAGCCTGCTGATCGAAGGAGAGCAAGAGGGAGCTAGTTGTTCTAGCCCCTCTAGAATGGAGAGTTCCAGAAGCTAGGGGCCACCACCGAGAAGGCCCTATCACGTGCCTCAACTAAATGTGTCTATGAAGGTGGTGGGACTGAAAAAGAGCTTCTCCTGAGGGTCTCAGGACCTCGGGAGGCTCAATTGGAAAGATATGGTTTGCCAGATAGCCAAAGCCCACTGGATTTTTGTGAACAGTCCTTGATGGACTGGCCTCCAATTGGA